GAATGGTGAAAATGTGCGATTTTGATGCATTTTCGGCCTTAAAATGGCCGCTATTCGGCTATCGTTAATCGGATCATGAAAAAAATGCATGTGCATATGTCCCATATAATGTGTGATATGAGTTAAGCTTGAACTTAATCGGTCCATGCATGTTCGAGATACAGGTGATCACGGACGAACGGACGCACACAGGGCAAAACATAAGTCCCCGTTTTCGGACTGCGTCCGAACGGGAACTAAAAACCACGGTAAAACGGCCATGCTTTCAACTCGCATCATAAGTGGAGGAAATAAATTTACTTGTGTTCTTTTGGAACAAATATTCTGATTGGTTGTTTTTCGCGTCAATGCGTGGCTCTGGCCAATCAAAAGCATCGTTACATAGTATTAGGGTGCACACAGTAAAATGAACTGTTTCCGGGTCATAACTGTTTTCAACGAAGCAGACAACAAACTTTCGATTCGAATGAAAATTATTCTTTTAAGTATGTATTTTGTTTATTATACCTAATTCTATTATTTTTGATAGTAACTGTTAACTGCAGATCGAAAATCTTCTATTGTGTACATTTTATTTCGTTTGATCACCTTGGTTTTTGGTGCCATTCATGCAAGTTTTTTAATGAACCAATTACGAACGTTTGTGCGACATACATTTTATTTTGCTTCGTCCAAATGAATATAAATCATAAATGTAAATTTTTGCTAAAAATTAAATAAAGCATGTATAAATAAATATTTGGGAAAATAAATTAACAAACTTGTTACGTCTTTTTCTGGACGCGATCATTACTTGTAAACAACTGATGTCCCCACTTGAGGAATCGTGCAGCTAAAATCAGCTGATTGTACGTGCTGACATTTACTTAATAGCTCTTCAAAATTCCTATTCATTTTGTAATAATAAATATATATTATGCATATATAATAATATGTAGATTAATAGATTTTTTGGTTTCCATTTTTCAACATCCTTGCCAATGATGCACGTTACAAATGTGCCACGCCCACTTCACATTGGCGCGCCCTGTTTAATTTTCAAACCGTGGAGAACCCTGAGAATTCTACTAAAATCATTTTATTATGTACATAGGTACATATCTGGTCTTTTATCAGGGACACCAAGAGTGATACAATTATGATTGGTCCATCAGTTGGTGATTATATCATTGAAAACTTTTCCCATATCCAGTTGGCAGAATTGCAAGTACATCATTTTTACCTAAAAGATACTTTATAGCCAATTTTTGTTCTCCTTTCAACTGTGTGGGATCAACATTGAACTTCTCACAGACCTTAAAATTCAATAGTAAAAAAATAACATAGGTCACAGTCATGTATAAGTAGTACCACTCGAGCAGTGTATTACCAGGTTTTTAATAAGACAATAACACGAATCGAAAGATAACTCTGACTACTATAGAACAGATGAGCATTGGTCAGATGTATTTGTTTGGGGGCTTAACTTTTTAATCAAATAAACTGATGTGACTATAGCATAAGGGGATGTTTATTATTTTATCAAAAAATGTAAGATACCAGGTAGTGCGAGATGTACACATAGTCCCTCTATCCCTGGTCTGAAAATGAGGATAGAGGGATTGTGACAGGGAGTAGTATTAGTGAGATCCTAGTTTATTTCCTTTTTTTCTTGGTTAAAGATTGACAGTACTGGTAAACACTAGCCACTGTTAGATGCAGTAATACAAAATACTAGTAATTTGGAACTTGTGTATATTGAATAAAAAAGAAGAAAAAACATCAAAAACTGGACGGACCTAACCTGGATTTTACCCATCAAGCTTTGCAAAATTTTAGTGTTTGTCTTGCAATTTAGGGTAGATAATCAAATTTACCTAATTTTTCCCTTTGAAATATCTATGAAAACACCCTTTTTGTTATAGGTATGCTAATGTTGTATTTGTTCAAGTAAGCTCTTGTAAGGGTTGAACTGGCTGGACAACAGGAAGTGCTCTGCCTGCCAAGCTTCAAATAATGACATATGATAACATCAGTACTGTCTATATTTAAATAATCTCCACAATTGCGACAAAACATATACAAATTATTGCAGCTTCCTGCTGAATATTTAATGACTTCAATCGTTAATTGCGTGAGTATATCAAATTTTCAAACGCAATGTCCACAAAAAAACTACGAAACGTTCACACAACACTGTCGACGCCATTTGACCTTTATATGCGAAAAATGAAAATAATGACAAATACTGCCATAAATTTGCTCACTGTGTATTCATATACATAGATATCGTAGACCAAAGTAGAAAATACTAAAAATGCTGTGACTCAGGCGAAAATTGGCCGACTTAAATGACATTACGAAATGACATTACGAAAACACATAAAACAGATAAATGCGAGTGCGTTCTGAAATCTTCGGGTTAACGTGTGTCAACAAAATAACAGCAAGTTCTGCCAAGGCACGCTTAAAGTTTCAAGTCTGAGAAGCAAAATAACCAGTCGGCCATCGAACGCAAAGTTACGCTGCAGGACAACAGCTACAAACAAGACAATATGCGAAGTATGCAAGGAAACAACGATTGTTTGTCAGTAACAATTACGAAATTCATCGAAACACGCATAAACCTACCTCGAACTTCACCTCTGCAGCAGTACATGTGTGGTCAGCCATTTTTTCATCTTGAGTTCTACGCTTGCGCAAAACATGAGTTTAACCGCTTTGTAAGACGCTCTGTGATTGGCTGAGTAAATTGCCTGGTACTGGAACGAGAGTTCCTATGCGGGTTTTTCAGAACATTGGTGCATGATGTGCTTTCTAGCTTATCATTTGTCTCGTTTTGATACTTTATTATTATTATGACGGCTTCTAGCAATACAAAATACTATTTCGTAATTTTAATTTACAATTATTGTCTTCTCTAAATCACCACCGGTCTGACACCCACTGTTTACAGTGTATTTTTGTTGTAAATAATTCATGTAATTATTCTTGTATTTTCATCAATACATAATTAAAAGATTGTATTAATCGTAATTAAAATATTTGCTACATTTGCTTGCATAATATAATATTTTAGATGGCAGGTAACAACAATAACAATAACCTTGTTATAAAAACCCATGACAGTGTGTTCAAAATTAGCACATTTTTGACACAGTAATTGGTTGATTTTGGGATATTCCCTATGATATTTGGAAATAAAAAAAGGAACACTAATTGTTGAAAAATTAACGTAAACAGTTTGACTAATTTTCAATTCAAAACGACCGAATGAGTTTGGTATAAGTCAATAGAGAAATCACAAAACAAAAGCATATTATGAAGTGCCCAACAAGCCTGGCTGGTAAATTCATATCTAATTTAATATTACATGCCAGACTGAATTTAATGGAATAACTGCAGGTGTTCGAAAGCGGAGTCAGAAGGTAAAGAAAACAGACTGAATGCAAAAAAAACGCAAAACAGATTCAAAGTTTCAAGCAAAATTCGACATTTTAATAACACTGCACGAATTTCGAGATGATGCTTCTATTTTCAAATGGAATATGCTCTAAAAACCTTAACAACGTCTATTAAGCCATACATGAATGCAGAACACTTGTGTCTTCACATGGACACTTGTGTGTCCTGTAGTCCTTGGTCGTACTTGTGAGACGCCCACTAGTATAGTATAGATGATTTCAAATAACCCCTAACATGCGATGAAGGTTATTCTCATCACTGACTACTTGTCGTGATGTTGGCCTTGATGCATCAACTTATGTGAACGATTGACAACGAGTGACTTGACTGAATACATTACACACCCAATCAATGGCAGTAGGATATTTTATATTTTATAGAGTGAGTTTGCTACTGGTGTGCCATATGTATCTTGAACGATTTCCCATGGACTCGCAGTCATGCACTATAAAGATTGAAAGTTGTAAGTCATATCAGCCATTCAATGATCAGTATCAAAGAGAGGCGAACAAATATTCACATTAAGGTGGAGATGCAGGTTCGTGGGCACTTGGGAGTGAAATTTTTTTTTTTGCTTTTTATTATCCAAACAGTCTTGGCTATAGACTGTTAAAATTTTGTAGAATTGTGAATAGTGGAACATACTCAAAAACCGATTTTAAAATATAGATAACAGGTGCAAACATTATCTCTTTTGAATGCTTAGCAAGATTTAGCAAGGCTGTACATAAATAATAAAAAAGAAACATGGTGAAAAAAAGAAATGACGAGATCTCCATATTATGCACTATATTTAACTTTTAACAAAACGATAATACATTTAAATTTAGAACTGTTACAACCATTTTAAATATGAGCATTAGCAAACTTCTTACTGAGTGAATTGTTATGCAAATTAGCAATTATCTCGGCTTATTTTTAGTGCACATCCCGGAACTATAAAAACATAGCTCCTAGACACTTTGACCTTTTGTTTTGAAATTTTCACAAATGATTGACAATGTGTTTATCTTCAAAACGCCGTTGAGGCATTGTTTTTGGTTGAACAGTGTTACAAAATCGTACAGACAACTAGCCTGGGTGTTAATTTATGCATAAACTTGAAGTAGTGAAATTTGAGCTGCTGCCCTGCAAAATTGATAACTGGTAGACAGTTTCAAAACGGCACTTTCTCATAGTAAACAGTTGTACCCATAAACAATTTTGACAGGAAACAGAAGCATGGTTTAGAAGCTAATTTTT